CGATGCTGTCTGTTCCACTGACCCATCCAGGACGCACCATACCTACTGCGCGCATGTGTTGCTCAGATGTCTTGCACATGCTCAGCAAACCCGCCGGGCTCTTGGTGCCACAGCCCTGTAACGCCTGTGTGAATCAACTGTGCAGCACATGGGGGACAGAGCACACGCAGGAATCCCAAGCAGAAACCTAGCCTACCTCACTGGGGAGAGGGAAAGAAATAGTCTTATTTCTATCTGTGTCCCTGAAAGCCCACGAAGGTGTGTGAATTCCCTCTCTGTTGTCTTCCTTTGATAACTGTAACTATCTGTAAAGCACACGGGACTTCACACTGGACTTATCTTCAATTCAAAGCTGCTATGTAGGCCAAATGCAAATTATAATGAATGCCTGAGCTTGTTGGCATATAAATAGTTAACACCATGGTACTACAGAGTACTAGAAAGGTAAATCCAGAAGGTTTTTCTCTGCTTTAAGTATTTGAATAAAGATACAGACGCACATTTTTTCAGGGAGACTTATTCTTTCCAACTGTGCCTATATGTCACACCAGAAAAAGCCAGTCGCCTTTTAGAAATAATGAAATTAATGTTATTAGCCTTTCAGCAAGTTTTAGAAGCACAAAAAAAAAGCTAGAAGAGAAGGAAGACTAAACCAAAAAGCCTTTAAAAACCCCAGACAACCAGTACTACTAGACTGCTCAGCTCTTATTTCACAAGGGCTTTGCAGGAAGGAAAACTACACCGGACCTTACCAGCACCCAGCTATGCAGAGCTGGAAAGGGGACCCCCGCCCCTTTTCTCTGGTTACGTGTGCACTACAGGCAAACACGACATGTAGTCCACTCTTGAGATTGTGTACCGGACTACGCCACTGTCAGTCCTTTGAACTAAATGGCGTACAGCTGAAATAGGCCTCTATTACTGCTCAGAGGCTTGTGTGAAATCAGAGGCCATTCTCAGTCCGGTTCAGTGAGATGGTGATCCCAGTCAGAGCTGCTGGTGATCCCAGACAGAGCTGCTGGTGTTCTCCACAAGGGCAGCAGACAAAGCCACCGTGACTGCAGACAGCAGGACTGCATGGGGGTCTGCAAGGATTGACCGAGTCCCTCACACACCTGGCAGGGGGGCAGGTTGGAAAGGTAAAATTTATACTGAGACTGCCCATCTCCCACCGGCGGGGTGGGAAGTTTGAAGAAAGCCGTTCTCTGTGCTTGCAGTCCGTCCTCAGCACTGGTCTCGCTCAAGTGCTGCCAGCAGGGACAGAGGAGGTAAAAGGAAATGACAAATCTTCCTGTTCTCTTTTACAATCATTTTTCATCTCCCTCTGTCCCTATTTCCAGCTGGCAACGTGTTGCACTGTAAAGGTGTTCCTCACTCTTTTTTTCAAAAAGCGGGAGTGAGCTGCTAGCTAGATGTAAAACTGAGATAAGGTGTAAGGCAGGCACCCCTATTCCAGCTTTAACTCTACAACAATTCAGGGCTGATTTATATTTCAAACTGTCACTATACAGTTTACAAGGGGAAAAGTGCAAGTAAAGATTGAGATTTTCCTTCTATAAATTGTGGAAGGGTGAGGGGGAAGTGACAGATCTCATTTAAAAACCTTATTGAAGCAGCCGTGTTGAATGATGGTGCCATTGCTTGTCTCTGTGTCTCATTGTCATAATGTAAGCCCTTTTATTATTAGAAGAAACCACAGAAGTCAGAGTAAAGTACAACAGATCCAGAAAGAGCTGGAAACTTAAGGAAGAAATAAAAAAAAAAAGCAACAATAGACATGGGCTGGAGAAGATATTTTATTTATTTGTTACTAGTAGTTAAAATGACGTACAAAATGCTGGGAAGAAAAAAACTCCAATTCTATTCAGTTACAAAATAATTAAAACTTCATTTTAAACCAAGTTTTGCTTTGTGAGACCGAGCATGAAAATACTGCAGCCTTAGGTTATATAGTCCATTGTTTTTAGAATAAAGCAGACATTTAAATACATATTGTGGTTGATATTAAATATCTTGTATAATTGTAAGTTAGCAGAACTTTCTTACTCTCAGGCAATAACTAGCAATTCATAGAAGTTCTTTGTATAAAATTTACATATAGGGGCGGGGGGAGATCTGCCTCTAGGGGAGTTCCATCACGATCTATGTACAGGCTGTTTGGGAACATACAGATTTGTAAAACTTTCATCAATTTTCCTTCAGAACGCTAGCCTAATCTTAAATAAAGGAGTCAGTAATGTCCAAAGCTTTGCTTAATGGCTAAGGGTTTAGGGACATACCAGTCACCGTAAAAGACAATGGGAGTTTTGCTGTCAGCTTCACATGAAGAAAAAAATTCATACATTAAGGTGTGCCCACTTCTTGAACAGAAGCCCTAGCTAGTACAAAACTTTCAGCAATGACTGCGATTGGCCCTTTCCCCTGCGAACTAATTCAAAAAAGTAATTTAAAGGAAAACAACCCCTGCCTTTTATCAGTGAAAGAGGATTTGTATTAACAATAACATTAAATACCCATATCTTTCTGTTTAACTATTCACATTCCACACAGTGGAAATCTACCTCCCGTAATTCCAGATTTTAAAATTGGATTTTAAAATCCATGAAGAAATGTGTCAAACCTGCTGAGTGAGAGTACACCAGCTGAAATGCATTTTAATGATATCAATCAATGAGTTGCAATCTCTTAATCTGACAAATGCAGACCACACAGCAGTGGATTTTGCAGTAAAAATATATTGATTACAGAGATGCAGGATATCACCAATAACTGCGTGATGCACTGTGTAGCAGCTGGGGCATCTAATGGCTGCACACTGGATGTGTTTCTGATGTGCCACTGTGTGTTTTCCCCTTTGGAGATACTAGAGAGTACTGCTGCTGAGTGGGGATACTGAGTCCTGCACTACCCGAGCCCCAGCATACCATTAACGCGGACCTAACTCCCGTTTCACTCACATCGGTCGTGGCCGGCTTGATTTCAGGCCTGGTACTGACCCTGGCATAGGAACACGCCTTGCCTCCGGTACCCCACCGAATGGGGCCAGCGGTCGGGGCCCTGCAGGCACCTGCACAGGCAGGTGTGCAGCACCCCACCCAATCTTCACCACCCAGCTGTAAAGCGCCCTCACAGGGCCAGCACCCAGGCCAGCATGAGCCGCTTGCACACCATGTATCGTAAAATGCAGCCAGCGAGACAGCCCCCAGGCTTCCCCTCAGACCCCCACGAAAGCCAGGGCAACGTGCATGGAAGGGCTGCCCCTCAGGTCCAAGGGCCCAGGGTCCACCAGCTAAACCAACTTCTTTTGCAGGACCTTCTGTGCTCTTGCCAAAACCCACAGCCCTGATCAAGTTTAAGCTCCTAATCCTGAAGGAAAGAAAAGGCAGATTAACCTCACAGGTGAGATTCATCGAGCTGTTGGAAGTGGTGTGTCCCCTTTTATGTTTTTTCCCCCCAAATGAGAGGGGCAGTTAGCCCTTAATTTTCAGGAAATTCTCTTTACTTAGTCCAAATCCAGTTTAAAGGCAAGTCTGTGGTAAAAGATATAAAAAGAGGATTATTGCTGGCAAAGTTCTGCATCTCTTTTTCAACAAACTGCATGCCTGTGGCAAAGCTAAAATAACAATAACAATGCAATGTTTACTAGTCATGAATGTCGTGTCTTTTGTCTCTTGTGTGGTTATTGCATTTGCCGTCACATGATGCTTGTTTTAATTTTTGCTTTGCTCTTTATGTACTAAATTACTGCCATTCCGTACTTGATCTTGGTTAGCAAGATTTTTGTGCTGTGGTTATGTATGTTTTTTATGTATGTGTGTGAAAAAGAGAAGGAGAGAGTTCGGATACACTCAATGGAGTATGCATACAGATACCAATGACTAAAAGATACTGCATATACATATATATGTAGATATGAATAATAACTGATATCAGAAACACAAGACATCAAATGGATCTAGAGTGGCACGAGAATGGGTTTTGACTGATTTAGAGAGCCATTAGAATTCAGATGTATATTTATAGCCTTGTATATAGTTTCTCTTTAATTTATGTAATATATGACTAGGTGTATAAATTAAAGCAAACGTAAACAGAAGACAATATCTCTTCCTCTGTGTCTTCCTATTTGTGTATCTTTCCCTTTTCTGCTCCCTTTTGTACTCTCCCCATCTACTTACTTTGGCCTTTTGCTTTCTAACTTGCTGTAGCTCTGTTTTCCATCCACCTATACTGACTTTTCAACACTCCCAGGCCCCCCCTGCTGTCCTCCAGATACGGCTTTTGGATTACAGTTATTTTTTTGAAGAAGCATGTTACAAACTCTTGATACAGCTGCTATTTTCAGTGATGGTTTTGCTACACTTTAAACTGCTTTTTGCCTACTACGTATTTAAGAATAGGTTCGCGCTTTCAAATATATTGTCCTCTCACTTTCATGTTTCTCTTAATACAGCAAAAGCAAATAGCACGGCAGGTGAACATTAGCAAAAGCCACAGCTCCACTTTCCCAGCAAGCAGCAAAAATGTGAATATCCACTAGGAAACCTAGTTCATGATTGTGGGTAAATAGATTTTTTTTTTTAGTATTTCATACCCCTGTTAAATTCTTCTGTCATAGCGAATGTTCACAGGTTTGCTTGTACACATCCGTTTTCTCCCTTACACACAAACATATGCGTGTGTGCCCTTCCCTTACATCAATATTTTTCTTTGTTTTTTGGCTTTTTTTCTTGTTTTAGGTAATTCACAATTTTGTCCAGCCCCAAAGGTATGCTAGTTCATGCCACTCACTCTCATGCTGGCAATGATCGCATACAGTCAGAGTGCAATCGGTACCGTGTTTTTCTCAGCTTAGTCCAAGTCAATAGATATACACC